AGGGAAGGGAAGGGAAGGGAACAGATATAAATAAAAAACTTGATATAGGTCATTGCATTCTTCTTAACATTTTCAAAGGTTTGTTTCTTTGTCTGGAATGATCTCTGAAATTGTAATGTCTGGAAACATGACATTTTGCAGGGATACTGCTGATTTCTCACCTTAATAGGTGGGTTGGCTGTATCCCAAAACCAGGTTCTTCCAGTAATTAGATTCACTGGAAGGAGCACCTGATCACAGGACTTTACTGGATCCTTCTCTAATACATGTCAGATAAATGTCAACTACAGGATCCTTTCCCTCTGGCTTTGAACTAACCCCCTACCCAGTTTGGGAAGCAGCAGCAGCAGAACTGCCTCATCAGCTAGCCAGCCATTCTTTTCCATGTTTCATTCTCATCCATATGAGGCAGCGGGACAAGGGTGGCAGCAACAGCCCGTTTGGGAGCTCGGCTGCTGGAGAGGTTCTCCTCCATGTTAAGGCCATCACGGTATGCTCTCTCTGCCTGGCCTCCTGAAAGGGTCTCACAACCCTCATCTGTTGTAACACACCTTCTGCCTGCCTCTTCTAATAATGCCACAGGGAATTTGGTTGAAACCTTCTCTCCATTTCCTTTTCTTCCAGCTACCCAGCGTGAAGAGGTAATCAACTTGCGCATCTGGAGCAGCTAGTCCAAAAAGCTCCAGATGCAGGAGATGCCTCTCTTGTGGAATGAACCAATGCGCTGCACATCTCCTGTGGACACAGGTGCCAGATAAACATGCAATAAAACTTTAAACACGGTGCTCCATTTCTGCATGAGTAGGCTAAGTGACGGACTAGATTCCAACCCTGGAGAACAGGGTTTGAATCTAAGTTCAGCCGTGGAAGCTCATTGGAGGAGTGGAACTGATAAAAGCACTCCTTAAATATCTCAGTTACCTTGAAAGCCCTGTTTGGGTCACTATATTTATTTGTTTGTTTGTTTGTTTGTTTGTTTGTTTGTACCTCACCTATCTGGTCATTGTGACCACTCTAGTCGGCTTCCAGACAAATAAAGAATAACATACAATATGTCAGTTCCAACTTGACAGCATAGAACACAAACACATACAGCCACACAAACAGGCTAAGTGAGAAGTGGGGAGGGGAGAATAAATGATAACGAGGTAAAATTGGGGTCAGGAGAAAAGGGAGTTGAGTGTACAGTATAAGTAACAGGTTTCAAAGCCTCACAAGATCAGATGCATTTGCTAGTATGTAACATAACACCAGCACCACTCATTTAAGAAATTCAGGACACTGTGTCAGAAAAGAGAGCAGTGACCCCCTTCATATGTTATGCTGAAAATGGCATCTTTGCAGATTGAAAATAAATGGGAATAAAGGTTTATTCCATATTATATAATCCTGCAAAGTCAAATGCAGATCATTCATTTGCTCTGTAAGGTCCCCTACAAGGACCTCAAAACAAGGTGTCTCCTACCTCTCTGGGACAACATTACCCTTTGACAGCTCAGAGCAAGTGAACTCCATCTTGATGGTGACATGCTGTGCAGCAATGCACTAGCCCAAGGCAGAATGAGCACTGGACCCAAAAGTTCTTGTGCATTTTTAGAATAGGAGTTGATTCCCTTTATCAGCAGGATATAAAGAACCAGAAACCAACTAAAGTACAGGGAAGGCATGAAGGGAATATAGCTAAAGATTCCAGCCTCCAATCCAGCCCCCTTGTACAGTATGTATAAGAAATCACTCTACAACTAGCTTAAGGTAGGAAATGGGGGAAAGAACTTTACTTACAGTTGATCTTGAGTTACAATCAGAAGAGAAGAAAAAGAATAAAATAAAGGGATTGCATCCTCAGCAATGTGAGATGCTTAGTTCACTACCCAGCCAAAGGGTGAAAGAAGAGGTCAAGGGCAGAATGGTTTCATGTCTGCTCTCCTTGGAGGTCAGGAAGGACAAGGGAGAGAAACAAACAGTTGAAGTGGAGATAGACAAGAAGAGAGGAGTGGCTTACCTCAAGCCCAGGAAAACAGAGTTTGCTAATAGGTTAGTGAAAAAGGTAAACAGTCACCTTAGCCCAAGAAAGCCCCTCTGGATCCTAAACCACCTCTGCCACTGAAAGCTAGTGCTAGTGAGCATACAAAGTTATTTTTCCTCCAACAAAAGTCTCCCTTGTTGAAGAAAGAAATGTGAAATTTTGAATGGATTGCCAACAAATCACTGAATACTTTAGGTCAGAACTAGGAAGTAACAGCAAGATTCAGCAAGCTGTAGTCAAAAGAACTTGCATTTTTAGAGTTTGAGTACTAAGCTAAGTACTGGGTGGAGGGAGAAAAAAAGCCTGGGCAGAGAGCAGAAAAGAGTCCTGGGATGAGGATATGATTTTAGCCCAGACAAAGCTTGGCACATTTGAAAATAAATAATAACTATTTGTGAAATTTTGTTGAGTTTTTCCTGAAAAATCTCTGATGTAGCAACAAACAAATGTTGGACAGATGTTACTGACTGTACATCTACAATAGTTAGGAGGATTATATCTTGAGATCAATTCCTTGACAAATCTTTTGTCTGTCCTGAAAGATCTCTGAAAGAATAAGAAACAATAATATGAATGGGTACTACTGATTAATTGCAATAACTGTGTGGGCTACATCCTGAAACTGGTTTCCCCCAGAGCCTCTGAATGTGGTGGGTGTTTCTCCCCTGAGGTCTCTGAAATGCCAAGAGCTAGAAACAGATCTGAATGGGTACTAGAGATTTCTCAAAATTGAATCCCCTGTAGTCCTAATTAGCTTTTTTTTTAGTTGCCCCAATCATAAGCATTTTCTTTACTCTTCTGATGAGGTGGTACAGAGGCTGAATGAGGACTAGGCTGGAGGCACGATCAGACATCTGCAAAGGCACACACGCCTTATCACACCCGAAAGGTTGCTTTAAGTAAGGGAAATCACTCTCTGCAAAGTGACCTTTCTGTCTGTTGGGGAATTGCTCTAGCATGGCCTCCAAAAGCAGTAGACCTATATCTGGACCAGAAAGGTCCTGCCAGGGCATGGATTGGGGTTGGGCTGCAGTGTATTTCCCCGTGCATTGTGGGACTGGAAGGAAATATCGCACTGGACTGCTTCATAAGAAGTCCAAATCGCAGTCTGTTTCCCCAGTGTGATCACATGCTGAGAGGCTGAGAGGGAGGGAAGGAAGGATTTGAGAGGGAGGAGAGAAGAAATAAAGAACTTGGGAGGCAGGAGAGAAGAGTTTCTTTAACATGTGCAAAGCATTCCCTCTACAATAATAAAGAGCTGATTAACAATTAGAACTGATTAACTCTGTGATTAACACCTGAACACAGGTTATATTCGGAGAACCCATCTCTCCCACTGTGATCAGAAAGAAGATGCAAATATTTCAAGCTGGGTTGTATCATCAACATTTCTAACATTAATTTGCAAAATTGTCTGTGAATTGCTTCTTTATGCATAATCCAGCAAGCCACTCCTGCACATGCTGTTCCAAGTACATTAGCATTGCATATTTTGATTTAGTTAGCAATGAAGCTAATTAAACTTAATGATGTTGAGTGGCATTCAGAAATAAATCTAAGTACTGGTATAAGATGCATGAAATCTCAAAGGAACTGAAGCCCCCCCCCCACTGCTCCCCACCCACCCACTTTGGAGACTTACAGACTTGACACCAGCAATGTGTATGGAAAGGGCCTAGAGTGAGTGTGAGGATATGGGTTTTGTAGTACTTATTTCCCAGGACTTGCAGGTGTTCATTGTGCCTAGAGACTCTTTGTTCCTGTGAAGATGAGCCAAGGTCGTTTCTCAGGACTGACAACCAAAACATTCCTTACTAATGGCGTACCAGTGTACCAACCTAGGATGAGGAGAAGGCGCTGTGGAAAGTTACAAGTTTGGCGTGGAGTTGTGGACAAAGGATTGTATGCTGATTGGATACCACCATGGGACAGAGACTTTGATTTAAGTTATGGGGTGGGTTGAGTAAGTTGTTGGTGTTTGTGTGGAAGTTGGAGTAGGCGAAGGAGGACAGACTTACAGCCTTCGTTAGTCATGGTAACTTAGAATAGCCTAGCAATCAAGTAGTAAAGCTATTAGTTAGTAACTATTCTATTGTTTTATGGGAAAGACTTACAGAAGCTATGCATTGGGAATGACATTATTCAAACAAACCGACTTCTCAGCAACCAGTATTTAAGTCACTAGTAAGGCTTTTAAATAAAGAATCCCTATACAGTAGTTTCCATATGCCAAAGTTCAAGCAACCAACCATATTTTGAGTAGTGGTGGTACACTGGGAAAGAGCAGAATGGTCACAGCTTTACTTCTGATATATGTTTGGTACCTCACTGCAAACAGTACATTCAAAAAACACAACTACTGACCCCAGCTTGCCCTCATCAGAAAGCTCAGTTTGGCATCTCTTCAACTCAGCTTGGCACCCCAGACAACCTCCCAGTTATCATCTTGACCTTTAAGTAAAGGATGTCTCTAATGATACTGTGTCTTGTAAGGATACTGTGTTTATGGAGCAAGGCATATTTTAATTTCCAGAATTCTTCAGTCAAAATGCCTTTTAAAAAAATGGTGGTGGAGGAGGAAGAACGACACGAAGGGCAACATACCTATTGTCTCACAAAACAAAATTTTCAGTATCAAGTCTCCAGTGGAACAATCATTCTCGGTGTGGTTGCTTGTTTTCCCAGACAATTTTTTTCAGAACATTGCAGCTAAAATGACTTTTGGTTCAGAGTTTATGTTTGAAACTGACACGTCAGTTGTGTACCACCCACCTGCCCACTCACTGCATCCTACGTTGAGCTTTCCTTCTTTTCTGATTTCTTTCTTAGGTCTTCTGATCCAGACTCCTTGGACCAGAACTACGAAGCTACAGTCTAAAGCCATCCTAAAAGGTAAGGAAAGTGTTAGCCTCTCCACACAACTTTTTAAATTATGTTACATTCATTTTCAAATGGCTAATTTTGCTTTTTCACCCAAGATGCACCACATGTTCTTGCAGAACAAGATACAGAGATTTAATTTGTCAAGACTATAGAAAAGAGTCTCAGAGAACATGAGGAAGAATGCAATTCAAAGGAGCCTCTAATAGATAGGATCATGCTGGCTGATACTTACAGGACTTGTCACACAAGGCATGTGTAGGAAGACAGGCTGCAGAATACCATTTTATGAGATGGGTGAAGTGAAAAACTTTGAAGAGACATCTAAGATACAAGCAGAGGTCAAATACACGGTCCAGGAACAGGAGCCTGGGATACAAATTGTAGGCTTTCGGCCATGCTTGGACTCAACGTTTTAGCCTCTTACCATCAGAACCATAGCTATTACGCTGGAAGGCATGGTTAAGCTGAATTTTGCACCACTACCCTTCTCTAAAGTTAGTGTATTTACACGGTGCCACTTCCCAGCATGGCACCTTACCCTTACTTCATCACTGTACTAATAATCGTTTTGATGAGTAAATGTTGTTTATGTATTGCTGAGCCATTGACTTGTATAGGTCAGCAGCCAGATGCCATGCTGAACACCATCCCATGATAATGTATGCTGATGATGTCAATTTCCTTGTAATTTCCTTTCCACCCCACCCCCATTCCCACACCTCTCAGGAGACAGCCAGTACTCCTGGCATCTGTTGACTTCATGCAGTACGAAGACAACTTCACGGAATACTTTGAGAATTATGAAGAAGATGAGCCGCCCGAGTTCTATCTTAGCAATGCACAGATTGTTTCTCTTGTCCTCCATGGGATAGCTTTTCTTCTGGGAGTGCCTGGCAATGCAATAGTCATCTGGATCATGGGCTTTAAATGGGACAAGACCGTCACTTCCCTCTGGTTCCTCAACCTGGCCATTGCAGACTTAATCTTTGTTTTATTTCTCCCGTTGTATATTGCGTATGTTGCCCTGGGCTTCCACTGGCCCTTTGGGAGCTGGCTATGCAAAGCCAACTCCTTCATTGCCCTATTCAACATGTTCGCCAGTGTCTTCTTCCTGACAGCAATCAGCCTTGACCGGTATGTCCATCTGATCCACCCAGCATTCTCCTACAAGCATCGGACTCTCAAGAACACCCTGTTCCTGGTTTTGACCATTTGGATTTTGGCAACAGTCATTGGCAGCCCTGCTCTGTATTTTAGAGACACACTAACACTACCCAACAACATCACTATTTGCTACAACAACTTTCACCCAAGTGACCTTGATCTCATTATCCTCAGACACCATGTTCTAACCTGGGTTAGGTTCATTTGTGGCTACCTCTTTCCCCTCTTGACCATGATAGTTTGCTATTCCCTACTCATCAGCCAGGTGAAGAAGAGCGCTATTCTGACCTCCAGCAGGCTATTCTGGACCGTTCTTGCAGTTGTGTTTGTCTTCTTTGTTTGCTGGACCCCCTATCATATATTTAGCATTCTTGAGCTGTCTGCTCACCATAACAACTATCTGCATGGCTTGCTTCAGGATGCCATTCCTCTTTCAGTTGGCTTTGCCTTCATCAACAGCTGCCTTAACCCTATCCTTTATGTCCTTCTCAGCAAAAAGCTCCCATCCTGTTTCAGAGTTACATTTTCAGAGTTGGTGAAACATACACTGTGGGAGGTCAGCCAGTCTGGGACGGTCAGTGAACAAGTTTGGAATTCCATCAGCTTACAGCCGTACGAGGCCCCAGGGACCGAGATCACTCCAAGTGAAAGATCCTTAGTGCCCACTGAAGATGCATAAGGCTGGAACACATCTCTCTCTCTCGACATGTTTTCACTTTTTTTCCATGGAGCATACACATCTATAATGTTAACAAGATAGTTCAATGATTATAGTGCATTTTCTGTTAAGCTGGCTTCTTATGCCTGTGTACTAACAATGTGTTCCAATGTGGTCAACCACAGAGGTATTCGCACCTGAAAAGGCAGAAGGGTATTGGCACACAGTGTTGTTATACAAAAGAAGCAGAGTGAAATATTCATTCAGAATGAAAGAGTTATTTTCAGGTTACCTTAACAATGCATTTACATTTAAGCACCATCAGTTTTACCATTAACTTCGATTCCTAACTGCGAAACATTTAAATGCTTGAAATACAGTATGTCACTAGTCTTCTTCATGTCCCCTGCCTTAAAATTTAGCTCTGCTGTTTCTTCACAGCCCCTCACTACTCACTGGCAGTTTTTGACCTCTGTGCCATGTCTGCTCAAGACCCTTTCTGTACCTTCATGGACTCCTCCCTTAAGCTTCTGCTTCTCGGTCCTTAGCTTATTCTGCTCCCTTCCTTCCGTGACACCGGCATCCACCGTCTCTTTCTCGTAGCGTCCCCACCTCCTCCTCCTTCCCAGTCCTTAGCCTTCATAAGAAGCCTCTTGAGGAAGGTTTAATCACAAAATGATAAAGTGTTCCTTCCCTCATAGAATGTGGACAGTAATAATTTTAACAGCTTTCCTGTCAAAGCACTCGGAACACCCAATGAATGTTTCCAGTCATCATCACACAAGCTGAGACCATCAAGGTCAGAGGGCTTCATGGCTACACTATCGCTTGTCCTTTGGCGGGTGACAGGGTGTTGTTTCAAAGAAATGTAACTGTTTAGCTTTGCAGCCTTTGTTCTTTCAATCTTTTCTGGAACATTGTAAAATTAAAGTTGGATCTTATTTGTAGAAAATACATTTTATATCACACACACGGGTCTGTGTATATTCTATGTCACTGCATTCCACAGTTTGGAAAAAGGTGACTTTTTGGGCTTCAGTTCACAGAATCATGCTGGCTAGGGAATTCAGGGAGATGTAATCTCAAAAGTAACTCATCTATGCTCTGCACATTTCAGTGAGATATATGGTAGGAATATTTTGTATTAAGGTAGCCTGCAATATATCGAAGCCACACCATCTTAGTAAAGTTATAGTACTGACAAAGTGAGGGACCAATTTTTAAGTACATTTTAAAGATTGATTCTGTTTTCTTTGGATGCAGTCTTATTTTTTGATAACTGGATTACAAACCCCTTACAAACATGGGGAAGCGGGTAGATCTGCCTGGCCAGAAAGTAATAACAACAACAACAACAACAACAACAACAACAACAATAATAATAATATATTGTCATTGCAAGTATATACACAGTATACCCATACAATGAAATTCACAGACACCCAGAGACCAGACACATGCACACACATAAAATTCCCCAAACACTCCCCACCCACTAAAAGTCCCCCACTAAAAATACAAACATCTATACCATCAATGTAGTTCTTCCTGAACAAACTGGTTTCCAGCCTTTTGCTGGTTTTAACAATTCATTCAGAAATGACCAAAAAACACTTTTTCATTTCCACATGAACATGTGTGTTTAAGAGACGTAATATCCCCCTAGAAGCCTAAGAATGCATTTGGCTCTTGAGCTGCAAAATCAAAGGGTGCCACAGAGCTGGGAAAAGTTTATTTCTTGGACTACAACTCCCAGAATCCCAAGCCACCATGACTGCTGCCCCCTCATCCTATGTTGCCTTGCCCCAGTCATTTGCAATTTCCAGTGATGGGTGCTTTTGCTTATTGGTAGCTTCAACGTCCCTTCTAAGCCACGCGGCCGCTCAGTCCTGCATTGAGGCTGTGCAGCTGAGCCAGTGTTGACACCCGTTTGCTTCCAGTCATGGCCAGAACCCTGTGCGCATGGGGCGGGCCTCCTGCCCAGCCCTCCAGTAAATTAGAGGCAAGCTTGGGTGGCTGGCTTCCTTCCTTATTCACACTCAGAAGTGTGGACAGGTGCAGGGAAGCAATGAGGATGAGGTTGTGGAGGCTTAGTTACTGCCTCCCTTTGGACTCTCGCCCCCCGCCCCCAATTCTTTATTGTTTTAAGAGCAACTAACCAAGGAAGGGGAAGAAAGAGCAATGGAGCATGTGGCTTAGCTCATGTCTTGAAGAGATCTGTTCTAGATGAGGTTCATCTTCCCCATGAATTCACTTGTTCTGCTGCAGTGTCTCATCTTGTTTGGAGTCCTCTGACCCAAATTCACGGATACAAAGTTTGGCCTAGAAAATACTTTTAACTCTCAGTGTTCTCACCTGCAATACGGCTAAATGTTGTTGTTTTCTTTTTCTAGAGAGTTCTTCTAGATATTCAGTGCCTCAGTACTGATAGGTAGTATGCAGCTGTGTTTATCTGCTTCAGATAAGTGTTTTCTTTGTGCTTCGGACACCTCTGGAGTCAGCTTGCATCTGGATGATCTGTGTCCACATCAGCCTTCTGCTGCAAAACCAGATGTTCTCTTCCCTTGATGACACATAATACATGCAGTGCATGTAATTCTGGTCAAATTTATTCCTATAAATGTGTGTGGGCTGAAAATAGCCATAAAGCAGCTGGCATTCCTGACTGGGAAACAGCGGCTTTGTGCAAATGCAATCACTCCCCCTGCCTCACCATCCCCAAGACACACAGCAGCCTTTACTTCCGAGAGCTGAGAAAAAGCTGTTAGGCTGTCTTGGGAACTGGACCGCCTGCCCTCCTCTGACCCAACATCACAAAATGTACTGCTGGGAGTTTGAAAAGCAAAATTACAGGCTTTTCCATCTGACTCAGAAAGGAGGTTGAGAATGGGGTCACGAATGATCAGAAACACCCCTGTGAGACACTCACAAAACATTGCAGTAGGACTACTCTGTGATCGGTGTTGGGCAAATTATTTGGAAGCTGGCTGATACCTCTAGTGCTGTGGCTATCTGCTGCTTCATAGGGTCACGTTCTGTCGTTGTTTTGTAATTTATCAACCTCTCTGGGCAGCTGTACTATAAGGGGAGGATAGGTTTTCACAACCACCACCACTACCACCTTAGATTTGCAGAGCTGGAAGGGTCCCTTTGGATTATCAAGTCCAGCCCCTGTCAAGGAGGCACAGTGGAGGATCAAATTCCCAACCTCTGGCTTTGTAGCCAGAGACCTAAGCCACTGAGCTGTCCAGCAGTTCATATATTTGTTCCAGATGTTGTGGGAAATGATATTCATTAGCTCTTAAGCTAGTGCGAATGACCTTTTCCAAGAAACTTAGCAAAATCGGGTAAAGAATAAGGCACCACTGTATATCATAACAATGTTTTCCCACTAATTGTTCACAGAAGATATACCAGCAAAGACCTGTGTGCCATTATGGCTACATGGTCTGTCTCGGTCAGGGCTGGGGAACAAAAGGCCCTCCTCCAAATAGTCCTCAGTTCCCATTGCCCATAGAAACCACAGCCATTTTTGAGGGGCAAGGGGAGTTAAAGGTCCAACAACTTCTGGAAGACCTATGTTCCCCACCTGTCCAGATCCAGAGAGGTATGCGATTTAATAACAATTGCTGAGATATGACGAGCAAGAGCTGATGCTATGGCTGTTGTTATTTTTGCTGTTGTTGTTATTAACATTTCCACTCCATGATTTCACTAATGAAAAGCACTTAAAAGTGACTTACAGACATAATTAAAAGCAGGCAGGAAACAGAATTTAAGCGAGGAGATATCATGGTGCAGAACGTGGAGCTATTCTATATTTGAGATTTTTCTCTCCTTCCAAAGGATGATGAATACAGGTAGTTCCTTTGCAGAATGGCTCCGCCCACCATTGGACTCTGTGAAGAAATCTGTCACAAGTTCTTTCTAATAGTAGGTTATTTGGTGCCTTAGCATCCAGATAAAGGTCCCCAAAGAGGAGTGAGGAACATGAGATATTCCAGATGTTCTTGAAATGCAACGATCCTCAGCCCCAGCCAGCTTGGCCAATGTGAGGGAGTGTCGGAATGGAAGAACTGTCTCTTGTGGGCCCCCACCCCCCACAGGATAGTTTGCTTCTTATTTTGTCCATTTTACTGAGGCAGTTGGTACAGTCAAATGAAGATCCACATGTGTCATATTTGAAATTCAGGCACAGGGGAGAGGGGGTTTATCTCTGTAAGCCTGCTTATTTTGTACATTGCGGCTAGACTGATCCATAAAACTTATGCAATAGGGTAATTTAGCAGATGGCCGGAATGTTTCTTTCATTTTTCCCTAGCTGGTGCTCCAGGAGGGAAAAAAGTGTTTACTCATTCAGGGGGTGAAAAACTGCTGAAGCGGAATGCCTTGCACCTGCTCTTTCACAGTCGCAATTCAGCACCTTTTCCAAGGAGGATATTTCCACTACTTAAATTCCTTTTTTTGCAGCAATATGCAGGTACGGAAAAGCAAAACCTAAAGTAAGCAGTTCAAAGCTTGTCTAACACTTTAGCCTTGCTAGTAATTATTATACTGATGACAAACATGAATTTGAAAGTACTGTAAAGTGATCAAAGGCCAGAAGATAAGCTCATTTATCTTACAGGGTAAGATAAAAATACTTACTGTACTGTGCCGTCAGAAGGCTTTTGGTTGAGCCTGCTAATTCCCCCCCATTTGTTGATGAAACTGCATGAAGCACTTTCTTTATCTCCTAAAGGTAACCTAGAGTGGTCCTCGATTGACCAGATAGGCGGGATACAAATAAAATAAAAAAAAATAAAAAAAAAATAAATAAATATACAGATGATGGTCATCTGTATCTAAAGTAAAATATTATCTTCGTCATATTGTTCTCTAGGTTTGTAATGTAAGCATGGTGAGTGATTTAACAGGCTCTGGATTGAAATGAAAGGATATTCAGTTTGTCAGCTGTCCAGAGCAAAATATCTGGAACACAAAGGGTTTTGAACTCTCCCAGGTAAGATAAATGCAAACATGATATAAAGTCATTAAAGCTGAGTATGTTTTTAGAGGAGGTGCTCCCTCAAGTGGTGAAAGATGCTTGTTAAGTTTGTAGCATGAACCATGCATTCCAGTGTACTTTAGTTGCCACTGGAAAGTAAACATAGGCTTAATTTGTTATTTTTGTATCTTTGGAGGAATCCGGTATCTCTGAGAATGCCATTGTGAGAAAGAAAAAGCATTGTTTGAAGGAAACGTGCATGACTCTTAATGTCTAATTTGACTCTTGGTTAACAGTACCTGAGGCAAACTGGAGAAAGAAAAGAACAGGATGCGTTATAATAATGCCAAAGAGGTTGGGAAGGATGTCTGAAGTGTAATAAGTGGTAGAATATAGGAGAATAACCAAGAGAAAGATGAAATACTTCCTTTTCCTGTGGTTTTCAGGAGCAATTGTACATTCAGGATTTTAACTGTAAAGTGGGGCAGGAGAAATGGAAGAGGACAGAAATTTGATATACTTGGTGAAAGGAGACAGCCTGTCATGCCATTTAAAGTGCTCCCTTCCAGCCCCAAGGCCATGGAACAGCTGCATTAAAAATCCATGAGAATAAGGTGGTGGTGGTGGTAGGTTGACCGCCATCTTTTTCTGTCTTTTACACTTTTAACACCACAACCATCCCAGCAAGGTCATTTGAGTCTTAGGCCATTTCTACTGTATAGCAGGAAACATGTGGCACTGCACTCTGTAAACACAAGGCAGGGAATTATGTATCAAATGCTCAACCCTGCAGCAAAGAAAATATCACAGCAAAAGAGGCAGAGGGCTGAGCTACCACCTCTCCCTTGTGCTAGTTCATTTGTGCAGACTTTCTTTTGTAAAGGAACTGAAAGCAGTCCCCCCTATTGTTTCTACAGTCCCTCCTCAGCCCTCTGCCTCCATGGGTCTGAGACCACCTGGAGACTGTCACTGATGGCCAGGCATGGCTTTCTTGATTGCCAGCTGTGTCTTCCTTTTCACAATATTTTGGATGAGACAAGCTGCGTATGAACTGGCTTTCAGAAGAAAAATGGATGACGTCCCCCCATAGTCTATGCCAACACTAATGAGCCATGGCCAAACAATTCCTGTTTTTAGTACAGCTTCAAGGCATGTTTAGTACACATGCAAGGTTTCACTAATTGGGGCTGACTGCAAATTGGCAAGACGATTCATCAATCCAAGTATTTACAATTTCTGCAAATTACACTTTTTCCTTTTTCAAGCAAAGCTGTCCCAGATAAGCAGATGGAGATTACCTGTGATAAAACTGACCAGGCTCTGTGAAGACGTGAATGCAAGATGCCCGAAGTGCAACATTTAGTACCTCTCCCTCATTCTAGACAGATGGCATTTGGTTCCCTATCAGGGCAAACAAAGCCCTTTGCGCTATCTTCCTGAGACAGAAAACTGTAATTTGTCAAACAAAAGGTTGCACCATGAAGTCTGAATCCTGAATGTACAGAGACTTATGCCGTTACCACTGATCATCCATTTGCTTTCAAAACAACTGCTAGGAAACTGTGGCTATATTCATGCATGGTTTTGATAACTCCATTCAGTTCTGACAATTTAAAAACTAATGTGCTAATGAAAAAGTGGAGAAAGCCTTTGTCATCAGCTACCTGACGCAGAACACAGAATCTCACACACCTGGGATGGGCAACTTCCAGAGGTAAATTTCCCCCTCTTCAGCAATGCATGCCTCCCAAAATGTAACTGTTCGGCTTTTTTTTTTTCAGAACTAGAAGCTCACTTGTTGTACAAGATGATCCATCACTCATTTTTCAGCTGATTTTTTTCAGGTTGTGGCAGAGAGCCATAAAAGTGGCTTTCATGCTTCCCACCTTTGATGGACACTATCCTAGGAACTACCTTGCAAACGCTTCATATAATTTTTTTGTCCTAAGCAATACATTTCTACTTAAATAACATTAAATGCAAACTCTCATGGCTATGCAGAAAATGCAAGAAAAGAGAACTGGTTAATTCTCTAACTGCATGAAAAGTGGGAATTCTTCCCTCTTATCATGTGGATCTTTTAAAACCACTAAACTAATTCTCAACAGGTGAGAAATCTATTTTGGCATCCACAGTTTGACACAGAGTGGATGGCGCATTCATAATCAAAGTATCCACCAGATACAAAGCTGTCCCTGCTTCCAGATGGCCCCATTGCAGAGCCTTGAAACAGTAATTATTGGTGGAAAACAAACTATACTCACAGAGGTGAATTTGGCCACCACTGGATTGCTGAGTGGTATTAGGCTTGAACACTAAAGCACCGTGTCTTCTTATAAAGGATGTATCAGTTCTTTCCAGGGAAATTAAATAATTCCTTATCAACCTACAAGCCTCACTGGTGGACAGACTGCTTCACAGAAGAAGCACACCCTTTCAAGGACAATACTACTCAAATCAATACATCTTCAGTGACAACATTTATGAAAAAATTAGAACACGTGCAAGCTTGAGTGCTGAAATATTTTTTATTCCTGATGCTATTTGGAATTAAATTTTGTTGAAAGCAGCTACATCCATTGACTGTACATAATCTTCAAAAGCAGTGATCTTCTCTTCCAACATATCAGTTCCAACTTTGTCATCTTCAACTACACATTGAATTTGAAGCTTCTTGATTCCATAACCAACAGGAACTAGTTTGGCTAGAAAGAAAAAAAAGTAACATCAAAACTGATCTTCTAGAGTTTGCATTTTTATAATATGTAACCTGGGGTGGAACCACAACTTCCTATGGAGGCAAGAACATGGCCCAAACAGCCCCAGCCCTTGCTTCCGTCTGTGGGTATGTAAGCAGAATAGGAATCAGGGGCCTGACACACATCTGGAGTATAGCAGCAGGGAAGTAAAACAATGAAAAGAACCTCAGGTGAAGGAACGTGCTCTCCTAGACCAGTGGTTCTCAAGCTTGGGTCCCCAAATGTTCTTGGACTGCAACTCCCAGAAATCCTGGCCAGCACAGCAAGTGGTGGAGACTTCCTGGAACTGCAGTCCAAGAACATCTGGGGACTCCAGTTTGACAACTACTGTCCTAGACTCTCTATGATTGTGTAAGTATGTGCCATTGTGTGTATACAAATACATATCCTATCCATCAAGTCTTGGAACTAAAGTATCAGAAGACTGTTTTTTTGTGTGTGTTTTTAAATCTTCCCTCACAAGAGCATCTCTTCACGACACTGATCCTACAAGGGCAGTTAATCCCACACCCAAATATATATTTGAGAAGAAAGGCTTTTTAAGATCACCAGAGGTCTTTGCTATCTGAACTGGACATACATACATTCGTCCACCAAATAAAAACTTTGATTTAAGAACAATTTGTCTATGTAGAGTGCCAACTCAGCCACAAAACGATGATCTTTCCACGACCAGTCAACTACTTACAAGATCCCCAAACCAGGCCGTCAGCCTGAATGCTTCTGACACACTCCTCCAGTTTGGCCATATCTGTCTCATCATCCCATGGTTTCACGTCCAATAAAAGGGATGATTTGGCAACAATTGCTGGCTCTAAAGAAACCAAAGAACAGATTCTAATTAGAAACTACAAAACAGTCTCTTTCAACTGAAAGCATAAAGTCACTATAGAGGTGTTGTGGCAAATTTTCTAGGGAAAACATCCAGGCAAGAATTACATTACTTCTTGCTTTTGTTGGTAGTAGAGGACACCAAATATTTAAGTACTTCTGAATTGTAAACTAATTTTAAGTTATCCACCTAATCAGAATACTGCAAGAAGGTGCACTGCAAGATCTTATGTCCGTTACACAGCAGTTGTCTTCTCTTGTTTGAGAAAAGAAGCACCATACAGTGTAACTGCTGATCTTCCACAGTGGGAATACTGCAACTGCTACAGTACAGAGCAGTTTCAGGCCAGTAGCTGTGGAACCCTGCATCATCTATGATTAGGGGTCAGTATTGCACCAGCATGAGCAAAGTACAAAATTAACTTAGATGCAGTATATTCAACTGCTTCCATACCACTATCTGTAGATAATACTGGTTATAAATCTGAATTTAGCTTCACGTTCACAAAAACATTTTTATAACCAGAAACCCATTCTAAGCTACATTACATTAGCAATATTTTGTACAGCACAACTGATCATGGCAAGTCTCATTCATATTGGCAGATTTTTTTTCCAGCCAAATAATAATTCAACTGCCAAAAAACCAAACAAACAAACAAAAAACAACAACCCACCAAAGAGCTGATTAACATACTTTTGGCTTTCTTGGATTCATATTGAGCAAGCCGCTCTTCCCTTAATCGTTTTGCTTCTTCACTTTCCTGTAGAAATAGAAGATCACATCAAAACAACACAAAGTAACTGTTTTCATAAAATGATCAAGCAACACCGGATCATTCAGGGAAAACAAATCATCATGATTTCAGCCGAAAGATGGTGATTTGGTTTTGTTCATCATGTCACCGGTTAAATGTTTGAACAATGATCAGCCTGTTCATGAAACCTGTCTCTACAGATAATTAAAATTCACTACACACAAAGGAGAAGACATCTTATTCCACTACCCAATTAAACTAACTTCTATTTGCATAATCCTTGCAGCTGAAAATTAACAGGAAACAGATCTGAGTACCTCCTCTTCATCGGAGCCAAAGAGATCAATGTCATCATCATCTTTACTATCTCCACCTGCTCCTGTTGTGTCTTCAACATCTGCAGGGCCGTATTTTCCCAAAGCCTTCTTCACTCCAGGCAAGCTAAAGCAGCAGACAGCACTTCATTATTTATATTGCCTTCATGCTAATTACACAGACACCAGAATTAAACTGCAAAAATGCTGCCCAGCTTGGCCCCCCAATCAACAAAATTGCTACTTAACTATGCTGACATTTGAAAGGGAAAGTACCAGATGTCTGATACGAAGGCACCTGCTGTCCGGCAGGCTACTCAGTAGCTCTTATAGATAAGCAACATCGCAGACCAAGGTCTACATCTGCAGTAGAACAAGGTGGAAATAAGGTTTAGAATGGAAGGCATCACTTCAGACTCCAAGCAAGAGGTGTTATTATGAATTTCTCCATCACTTCTGACCATCTCTTATAACTAAATGACCACAAGGAGCAATCAAAAAGTAGATTTGCCTACCAGCAGCCTGAAGTGATGCAGATATTCTACCACTCGTTCTGCTACATGTGGAAGACCAGGACTAAAACAAAACATGTATCTCTATTTAGTGTCTCCTTTCATTTCCTTATTCTGGAGCTATTATCTCAGAGTAATCATAGATCTTTGGCTTGAAACTGGGTATGCATCTGCCCGGACAAACTATAGATTTTCTTTATGTTTAGTCATTATTATTGTATCTCTCTTCAATTTAAAAACTCAAAGATATATACACACGTTCCTGTTTTACCAGTCCCATTTTATTCTTAGAACAACCCTGGAATGGATTAACCACTTTGTTGCAGGCTCAGAGTTTCCTCATACATTTTTTTTTAAATCTAATGCAATGCTAGTTTTACATTCAAACAAGGGAGGTCTAAAATACTTTGGAAGTGTAGGAAGAGCTCCACCTAGTGCCTGGAAGTACAGACTAGACTAGAATATATACTGCTGATTCATGATAGACCACTGAATTATTATTGAATAATAGAAATTTAGAGCACCAAGTTGAATCTTTGATAATGTTCATAAATAATAATCCAGAATAAAAAACAGAATCAGCCAATGCTCTTACCAGGCCACTAAAACACAGATAAAGAATGGGGGGGGGGAGCTTTTTGAACCCTTCAGGACTCAACAGGCTAGGCATTCTCAAATGAAAACAAGACACCATGCTTAGTGTTTGAGAAGACAAGGTGTGAGAGAGAAATGCTGTCCCCCATTTTTATCACAAGGCTTGTACAGAGCTACACTTGGGGATCAATGGTGGGGTAGAGAGAAGTACCTTATTTAGGAGTAATTTAAATTTTCAAGAATAGCATATCTCACAAGCAATAACATTATTTAGAAAAAGAAATGAACCAACAACTTTCACAATATTCCTCAATGGTACATGTAAGGTAAAGGTAAAGGTTCCCCTTGACAATTTTTGTCCAGTCGTGTTCGACTCTAGGGGGCGGTGCTCATCTGTTTCCAAGCCATAGAGCCAGCGTTTTGTCCGAAGACAATCTTCCGTGGTCACATGGCCAGTGCGACTTAGACACGGACCGCTGTTACCTTCCCACCGAGGTGGTCCCTATTTATCTACTTGCATTTGCATGCTTTCGAACCGCTAGGTTGGTGGGAGCTGGGACAAGCGACGGGCGCTCACTCCGTCGCGTGGATTCGATCTTACGACTGCTTGGTCTTCTGACCCTGCAGCACAGGCTTCTGCGGTTTAGCCCACAGCGCCACCACGTCCCTGTCAATGGTACATGTATCATGTAACAATTACAGTACTACCTTGGATTACAAAATTAATCTCATCTGGGATGTTACGCAATGTGGAAATTATGTAAAGCAGAATGTGGGCTGCCATAGCAACAGGGGCGGTGCTAGAAACCTCCAGGCGCGATGCATTCTTTTCATACAGCTAACACTCCCCCCCCCTGGTAAAAAACGTAAACCGAGGCATTATTTCTTACGTATTCCAGTTCATAAACCAAAAATTATGTAAACCGAGGTGTACGTAAACTGAGATATGCCTGTAATAGAGCTTAACGTATGTATTTAATATCACCTTATTTTCCCAAACACTAACAGAAATGAACTGGAGCATTACAAGGTAGTATCAGAAACTTGCAACAGACAGGATTTGGGACATGTTTTGGAGATATCATACTCATGGGATACTTTTCAGCTGCTCAATATTAAAAAAGTTAACCCAAAGTTGAGAGTAATTAGTCATGTGCTGTAAAGTAGAACTCACAGCCAACTCTAATAGGATTTTCAAGAGAAGCAAGATATTTAAAGAGTGCTTGTACTAGTTTCACACCCTCAGTGAGCTTTCATGACTGAGCAAGAATTCTAGCCCAGGCCTCCTGAGTCCTAGCCCACCACTCTATCCATTGCACTATATTCAGTATTGAAGCACTGCCCTAGTCATCATAAATAGTAAGGAAACCACACAGAGAATCTGATTTACTATGTTTTGAATAAGTACTCTTTTGGGTTTAGATTTATACACTCATACATATGAGATGAATGGAAAGCATATGTATATAATAGATTTAGGATGCTTCCTCGGGATGACAATTGGATAAATTAATTACAACTTTGAATTTGTCCAGTTTTGACTATTTTGCCTGTTTTTCACACACTTCTAATGAATTTCTTATGGAGCAACACATTTTTCCTCTCCACTTTATTGCTCCTGTTGCTGTACAGCTATTCTGGCTAGCAGACCTTTAAAAATTGAAGAAATCTTATGTTTCTAGGGTTCTTCTTTTGCTGGAACAGAGACTACAATACCAACATGAAATTAATACAAAACAGATGAATCCAGCAAAGGTGTCCCACCTTGCCTTTTGTTTCTCATAAGACTTAATGTGGTTGTACCATCGCAGGGCATGGTACAGCTCTGAGGGAGGAGGAATGCCAACTGCTTCGAACACTGCAATGTCTGCCTGGGACGGGACATACCTGCAAAGAAACATATTTGCATCAAAATCTGTCTTATATAGCAAACTATGGTAATTATTACAAACTAAAAACAATCAAATCAAATCATTCAAGCTTTCTTCCAAACAGAAACCGAACCATACAAAACCTGAGAATGCATGCTAGTGGATACTACCTTGATACTGGATGTCAATGTACAAGAGTCTTTCCTGTTTTGTTTTAATTCTGAATGGTTTGTGCATACATCGCTATTAAAGATTACTTTCTCATTAACCATCATGTTTAGTTTAAAGCCCCCAAGGGTATGTGCGCCAGAATTCTCCACTGCTTTCTACAGAAAAATGAAGGGAGCCATCATAATCACTCATTCATCCAATGGTGCTTCTGGAGCAGACTATGGAAAATTTGATGCTAGCTGCCTAAAATGCTCATTTACTATTGCATGAAAAACATCTGACATATTTATGAATTGTACTGTGGTGCTTCTTACATGAACCAAGAAAGACCATAATCATGGCTACTGAAAGTGCTTTCGCCAAGACTCATCAATGCTGCCACTAGACACATGGTGTCTGAATCGTCTATCTGCCATAACTGCTCCATGTGCAGAACCAAAATTAACCAACGTTGGTAGGGGAAAAAAAAACTACACCTTTTTTTCTTGCAAAATGTATAATCCACAGTGGGGTTCCAAGAGCTGAAGTCAGCATACAATTTAGACATACATACTTGGGTTGCTGGCTGGATAGCTCAGCAAGCTGGAATCAGGGTAGATTTGATTAAAATCATGGTATAAATTCAAACAGATTTCTTTGATAAAAAAATTAATAATCCTTCTTTATTTACAGTAAATGAATTTGATTTTTAAAAAAATCATTGCTTTTTATCCAACCCAAATACTTGGCTGCAAAAGCAGGGTTTGAATCCCCACTGTGTCTCCTGTGGGTACAGCCAACCCGTGTAGCCTAGAGCAAGTTGCATGGTCCCAAAAGTGCCCCCAGAAGAAGGGAATGGTAAACAACTACTCAGTAGCCTCCCCTCATCTCAAATATGCTGTTCTGGAATGCTAATCTGATTAGTATCCCTATGGTTAAGCGATAACAGCCTTCTGATACATGAGAGCACTTGGTGGCTAGTGGCAAACTAGCTGTGTACGTGTTACTTTTGGTGCAAGCTCTCCCTCTCTCTAATATGCCCTCTGCTACACCAAGGTTAATTTTGAGAAGGGGCCCAACCTCTCCCATTCATCTGCATGTTTAGTTGCAGAGGTACAGGAACTGGATGAGGTTCATTAGTGCACCAGCTTGCTTAAGTGCAACCATGCTGCCTTTGTACATTTGCTACTTTGTTCTGTCTTCAAGGTGATTATATATTGATACCTCTCAAACTTGATTTGGCAACAGGGGACACATACTTGAGAAAGGAAATAAAGGTTCAGAATGACCTACTGCTGAATAAGAAGGAAAGTCTCATGCAAGAAAGGAGGGAGTGTTACAATTTAAAAGTGCAAGTGGAGTCCATGCACTAAGCGCTGCCGTTGCTACTCTTTGTGTTGGCAGCAGGTGCTACTAGGGAGAAAATCGCAGAAGCAACTTCAGGTTCACATCTAATTGTGAGGGATGCAGTTTTCTTACATACTAGGCGGAGTGGATTTGATTTATATAAAGGCAACTGAAATCATAATTCAAATCAGTAGTCAGTAAGACTCAATTTAAATCATGGTTTTTAAATATAAACTCATTCTTGCTGCTAGTTATAATCTTTAATATTTGCAACCAGATGAAGATGTCACATTTAGAATAACCTGTCAGATTAGTAAAACCACACAAGAACAGATTTTAGTTTAATAGGTTAATCACATAAGAACAGATTTTAGTTTAATAGGTTAATCACTCATATTTGGAGAATTACTTAAATTGTTTTATTTAACTAAAACAGTAACATTACAGTGGTGCCTCCCTTTTTCGGGATCGCTATACGGAAATAAACATCAGGACAAAGATTTGCAGGACAATGGAATTAATGTATTTTCCTGAACTTTGTTCATTTTATATAGTTTTACTATGAAAAAGTGCATGTTATCTCAGCTTGGATAACTTGGATTAATTGAATTAGTTTACCAAAAATGTAAATATTGCATGAATATACAACTTCATAATACATAACTAAGCTCTATTTCATGCTGAATAACCTTTGAACTACAACCTATCTTAAATAGAAAACTACCTTTAGATAGGTGTTTCCTCCAAAAGCATTTCATTAAAATACATTTCATTTAAAGAAAAATCCATTTAAAAAAAACATTGATTTTAATCCATCCTGATAGGTCATTTCATTGTTAGGAATTTGATGTTTTTTTTCCTTCCCTAAATGATTTTTCTGAAGGACTCAGTACCTGAACATCTTGCACATACACACAAATAGTTACATTTGTGTATTTAGGTGCTGAGCATTATCCTAAGTGAAAACACTAACCCTCTCTTCCCTTATATATCAAGGTTTTTAATGACCTTTTCCAAAACCCTGATGACCCAAAAGGGATTTCATCTGGGACTGGAAACCAAAGCTTAGGAGGAGAGATTGAAAGAACTGGGTATGTTTAGCCTTGAAGAAAGAAGGGAAGGGGGAGAGATACGATACTTCAAATACTTGAAAGACTGTCATGCAGAGGAAGGGCAAGACCTGTTCTCAATGATCCCAGAGTACAGGACGTGTAATAATGGGCTCAAGATACAGGAAGCCAGATATTGGTTGACTATCCAGAAAAACATCCGGTTAGAGCAGCACCGACAATAAAACCAACAGGAGGCATTCAAGAGAAAATGAGACAAATGTCAGATATACACTTTGGATTCCTGCACTGAGTAGGGGGTTAAATTTGATGGCCTTAGAGGCCCCTTCTAGCTCCACAATTCTAGGACATGATGAAAGGCTTCCCCAGGACAAAAAGGGAACTCTAGTGAGTCTCTGAACCTAAATGGGAGTGGGGGAATAGGAAGCCTTCAATTCACTTAAATTGATTATTTCCAGTGCTAGATCTGATTTACACCAGGATAACTTCACACAATAGGATTCTGCCCAGTGAAAGGATGGGAATCCTCTCTCCCAGTCCCCCACCACCACCACGGTGCTAATTCAGACCCCCCCCTTTCCTGTCAATGAGCACAACAATGTAACAACCACCTCTGCGTAAAACCCCCAAGTGCTTCTTTTAGAAGCGCTTCTCAATGAAAACGTGATCGCTGTGCCACAGTCCATAGGCAGGGGACGACCCCAAGCGGCCACACGGCGGAATGGTCAAAACTGTATTTTTAAGATTAAAAAGGTTCTGGGGAGGGCGAACTGTGTGTGAATCATCTTTTTGTCCAATTCTTTTTCCTATGGGGGAAGCAGAGGGCTAATGGGGCTACAAAAGTGATATCGGGCCCTGTATGGCTCCCATACCCCGCAGATTCCTTAACCATGTAATAGGGTTAGGCTCAGACCCTTCCGATTCCTACTTCGAGGTCAGATAGAGACCCACTGCCCCCCCCAGGAGATTGCGATAAATGCCGCGTTGATGCACCTGACTCCGAGATGGGGGCCGCGACCCTCGGCAAAAGCAAAAATAAAGGACCGAGTTGAGTAGGCACTGTATACCTCTCTCCCGTCTGCCCCAGTAAATGCTCCACAGATAAGACCCACAGTACAACAGGTAGGCTATTCGGAAGGCTCCATCCCGAGGCCTTGAGCAGGTTAGCCTCGGCCTACCCCACAGGGTTGTTGCGAGCCCCCCCCCCGCCCCGTTTCAAGCACAGCGGCCTGGTTCGTGCACACAATGAAACGAAGAACTCGGTTGCCGCCCATGAACTCATGAGGCCCGGCCACGAAGCCTCTCCTCTCCCCGTTTGGAGAAAAGGCCGCAGAGCCCACGCTTCCCACACAAACCACGGCTTCATCTTCCGTTGTCGGAAGGGAAGGCACAAGATGGCCTTAGACGGGCCTGCAACACCACCCCCACCCCCACCCGCTCGTTTTCTTAAGCCGTCCCCAGAAAGGCCTGCAACCCGGAGCCAAACCCACCCATCCCGGCCACGAAGGAACCACGGGCCATCCCGCTTAGGGTTCCTGGGCTGGCTCTCAGCGGTGCCTTTCCCTCTTTTTACGCCGATCGGAGCCCCCACGCGTGCTTTTAACGGGGGGCGCTGGTGGCCTCTCGCCCAAATCCCTCCACGTGACAAAAGCAGGCCCCTTCTCCTGCCGGCGAGGAGCAAGGCGGCGGCCCAGTTTCGCATCCCAAGCCTGCCGAGAGGAGGAGGGGAAGCCCGACCCCCCGCGACGACCCCCCCTCCCAGGGCCAAGGGTCCTAGAAGGCAACCGGGGAAGGCAAACGAGGAGGCGGGGCCGTCGATCACCCCTCGATGTAGCTCTTATCCGCTAAGTAGGTGTTGAGGAGCTGGAGCCCCGTGGGAGATTTCAGGTCCCCAAAGCCCATGGCGGCGCCCGAGGGTCGGGTAAAAAAGGAAGCCGACTGAGACAAAACGTAGGCCTAGACCAACACGAGCGCCGCCCAAAAGAGACCGCGTGCTTGCCAATCTGGCCTTTATAACGCGGGCGAAGCACGCAACTCAAAATCCCTACGCAAAATGCTGGTTGACGTATCCTTCCGCCGTTCGGGCAAAAAGCTCTCTGCTCTGAACATCTTCAGGCAGCAGACAAAGGGTTAAAAGTCGGTGGGTGTGAATCGTAACGGCAGAACGTGGCTGTCGCGCTGACGTCAGTCGAGATTTCTTCTTGCTTTCTTTCCTGACCCCGGACGTGGCGTTGTGTTTCGTTCGGGGCCGTCGAGTCGAAGATTGCCGAGCGCTTCGCGGAAATTGCCGAAGGCGCCGCCATATTCCTGCCTCAGAGGGTAGTAGAGAGGAGGAGGAGGAGGTGTTTCGGATCGCCAGGGCAGGCGTCCCCCCCCCCGGCTGAGGACGAGGTACGAGGGCTTGCGCGGTGGGCAGCGGCTTTGGCGGTGATTCTCCCTCTCCGAAAGGGAAAAACGTTTAGAGCGGGCCTGTGAGCCGAGGCTGGGTCTCTCCCGCTAACCTGTGCAATGTCCTTGAGCGGGGTCGGTCGCCTCCCTCCGCACAGCCGCGTTTCTGTGGGTGGCGGTTGGGGGAGGAAGAGGAGGAGGAGGAGGAAGGCTTCGTTGTAGGGGGAAGAGACCGCCTTCTGCTCCCTGTTACTTGCATGAAGGGGCCCTTGTTCTGTGGCAGACACGGGCGTCTGGTGCCCCCGTTAAAGGCTCTTGTCAGTTTTTATTGTGAGAACAGTCAAAGGCCTTGTGAGGCCATCAGTGCGAGCAAGCCTTTCCCCTTCCCCAGTAATCTTTCGTGGACTGAAGCCCAGTTTATCAAATGACAGGGCAGTTGGCGCACCAATTTTATTTTATTTATTTATTTATTTGGTGGCAGTCTCCACTTGGCTGGGCCCCTCGGGTGCAGAAGGCCTTGTTTGTTCTCTGTTGCAGGAGAGAGAGAGAGCTGCACATAACCTAGGGGTAAAAATAAGGGTAGGCAGTGGAGTTAGGAGACTTCAGTAGGGGGGAGGTTTTCAGAGCACAAATGGAGGTAGGTTTCTGTCACACACTGCATGAGCATACCCAGGTGATAAGCCGGTATCAACCACAATAGCATAAGTGTGTGATATCGCCTTACCATCTTGGAGTGCTCAGTTAGAAACCTAGTGGATAAGGTGCTTCTGTAGACATTTTGTTTCTTTCTGAGCTAGCAGAAGTAATTAATGGAAAAGTTACTGGCAGTAACATTCTTGTTATACTGTAATTTAACTATATCTGTGCATTCAAGTAAGACCCTTGTTGTGGTTAAGCCATGCTGCATACCAGTGTGTAAAGGGATACTTAGGATGCTGCAAGGTGCCTGTGAAAAGAATACCCAGTGGTTTTCCCCATGACAATCTATTCATTGTGTGAACAATTTCAAAAATCCCATCACTACAGGTTTGATAAAGATGCTCAGCACAAATGATTGGACTTCCCAGCCATATTGTGTTTGGTTTAACATTTTGTTTGAGAAGTTGTAGCAGTTCTTCTAATAAACAAAGCAATAAATTTGCATAAGGTGCTAGAGTTTGGAAAAGTGCAACAAAAACAGAATTTCTGTTTGTGCCCTGTGCTAGAAATAGATGAATAACTGGATTTTATGTTCTGTGATGTTGGCTAGGAACTAACTTATAGCATCCCCAATAGGGCTTTCAAGGTAAGAGAGATATCTAAGGAGTACATTTTCTGGTTCCACTCCCCAATGAGCTTCTGAGGAAGTATAAAAAGAATTTGCAGTATGAGGTGGGGGAAATTGTTATAGTAATAGCATTAGGAGTAAATATTCTTGGAGGAAAATGAAATAAATGCCAATGGAGATGTGAGTGGCTGAGAAGTATTTCCACAATTAGAAAGCTGTCTGAGATGTAATCATGTGAAAATTGTTTTTATTCTCTTCTCGGAAGCAGTTTGGGCATTCCAGTGTGATGGCTCAACAGGCATATTGTACATATCTGGTTAAGGGATGAGACAGTATGGAAAAATATGGATATTTATTTCTTTACAGTGGTGCCTCACATTACAATGTTAATTCGTTTCAGCGAACTCACTGTAGAACGAAAACGTCGTAATGTGAAAATAAAAAAGCCCATTGAAACGCATTAAAACCTGGTAAATGCATTCCATTAACAGCGGGGAGCCATTTTATTTACCCGGCGGCCATTTTGAAACCGCCGATCAGCTGTTTTAAGATCGTCGTTTTGCGAAGAATCGGTTCCCAAAGCAGGGAACTGATCATCGCAAAGCAAAAAAAGCCTATTCAGACCATCGTTTTGCATTCGCAAAAAGATCATTGTAGTGCGGTTTCGTCGTAATGCGGGGCAATCGTAAAGCGAGGCACGACTGTATTTATTTATTTTATTTATTTATACCCTGCCTATCTAGACCAATGGTCTACTCTGGGCAGCATTACAAAAAGAAGAAAACAATAGCACCAATAAACATAATTTGTAGTACAATGCTTTTTGCACGTTGTTTTAAGTTCACATTTTCAGCCTAAGAGGAATGACTCTTTTCTGCATTTCCCCTCTTTTTTCAGTCTGAATGATGTGAAAGCAGCAGTGTGTATAAGTGATACTCCTGGGTCTTCATAATTGTCATGACAAGGCACACCGAAGTGTTTAATTTCATGTGTTTCAGTTCTGCATCAGTTTGTGTTAGTGCTACCCTATTTCCCTGAAAATAAGCCCTTGTATGATTTTTCAGGATGCTTGTAATATAAGCCCTAGTTAAGTGAAAGCCTGCCCTCCACCATTGTACAGCAACCAGAAGACGACATGACTGTATTTGAATAAATGTAATTGTTGTACATGAAAAAAAAAAAACATCCCCTGAAAATAAGCCCTACTGCTTTTTTTGGAGCAAAAATTAATATAAGACACTGTCTTATTTTTGGGGAAACACGGTAGACATTAGTACTTTTTGTTCTGGTAGCCAGTGCAAGATAGAAAGTAATATGTGCATTTGTTACTTGGAGACAGCACTCAAAACTTATCGTATTTTTCTGTTTATAAGACAACCCCCCCCCCCTTTTCTAACCTCCAAATTAGAACATTTGCACAATTGCACCCCTTTCATGGCTGCTTTAGGATCTAAGGGGTGTGAGCGTGCCACCCTTTCATGGCTGCTTTACCCTGTGGCTTTGCAAAAGGCAGGGAAAGCGGTTGCCTTCCGTGTATAAAACGACCCTCTATTTTTTGTCTAATTATTTAAGTAAAAAGTGTCATTCTATACACGGAAAAATACGCTAGTAAATTTTGGACCTCAGATTCACAAGATCATCTTCTGCTTCAGGTCTGAATGAATTTAACAATGATCTATAAAGTGCGGGCATTTCTGTATGTGTGTGTCTTCAGTTTTCAGTGTAGAGTATATAAAACCTTTGAGTTAATTCACAAAATAAAATTGGATATTTTTTAATAAAGTAAAGCAGTCACTTAACATTTTGTGATTTAAATATGCTCAGCATAAAAATACATTGTAAATCTTTATTGGACTTTAGTGCTTGTCAACTTAGAAAGCTGTTTGACTCTCATTTTAGAACTTAATGCTAACATTTATTTCCAGCACCATGTTGCGACTCCCTGCTGTCTGCAAGACCTTGACTGGTGTCAGTCAAACTACTAAAGGATGTGGTGAGTAGCTTTTTTATCTAGACCCCTTATATTATAAATTATTGCCTGATTTTTAATGCAATTTTCATTACTATGTTAATGATTAATGGATACTGCATAAAGAACCTTGAGGCAGATCATGGGAGGTCTGTAGTTGTCTACATGTTTAAAATGTTGAGAAACAGCACAGTGTGAATTGTCAAGTCAGGACTTTTGAAGTGGGCTTCAAAGAAAAACAAATTCCAGTAATGAATTATGTTGCAAAAATGTGGTGGAAGTAATTTTGGTGCTTATTTATAAGGCTAAACTGAAATCTTCATAATGGTCTGTCAAAAGGTTCGAAGGGAGTTTTAGGCAGTTCACTGATATTAGCAGGAATGAGAGGAGTCTGAGCTTCCAAAACAGAACTATGTTTATTGGCTTGCAACAAGGGAGTGTCAACTATAACTTCTGTAGGCACTAAAGAGTCCCAATCATACAACTTTCTCTCAACATGTCCAAATGAATTAACATTCACCAAAACTGGGGAGCCGGTCCAAATCATTCCTTGTCTGTGGGCTTCCGAAGAGGGGCCATTCTCACGGCACATATGGTCCCACAGCAGGGGTGACGAGCCCAATCCCCTTCGGCTGGAAGCTTGTTGAACGTATCGGGACGTACCACCTTCCTCCAAAGACCGTGTCCCCGTGGGAACTCCACCACCGTCCATTCTGTTGTCTCTTGGATGGTGATTCCTCCATGTTTTGGTGTAGGAGCAGTCCTCCAACAGGTTCTTTATCTCTTTAGCCTTGAACTCCTCTTTTGAGTTTCTTTTAACATGTCTCTACTTGAAAATCCTGCGCACTCGCTCCTTCCTTTATACCCTCTTCCCACACGTCAATCCATTGCTCCTCCCCCTTATTCTTTCCCTCCTCCAACAAACAAACCTACGTCTTAACCCTTTCAAGTTTGCTTCCTTCCCCTACTTCATCTTTCTTTTTTACCTCTCTTTTTGTATTCGTTTCCCCTAGAGGAGACAGTACACTCGCTGCCTCCTGACCTTCACATGGTTATATTTTAAACCAAAAAGAAAATCAATTTACTGGGACTTGCATTAATTCTAATAATGAAGTCTGCCATGTTTTGTTCTAGTCATTTCTGTGAAAATGGTTTGTAAGACAAATACAAGACATGTTGAAATTCTATTGTGCAGCTCTGCATGGCTAATGGTGATGACATGAGCAGCAGTGTCAAGTTGCTGCTGATTAAAGGCTTCCTTTTATTATTTTGGGATGTACATGACTTGTTCACATTATGTATGAGTTGCATGCACCCTGAAATTGCCTTTAATCATTGATGTTTTGCCACAGATGATGACATCTTCCCTGTTGTGTACGTAGAACTGCTCAATAGGATTTTGGCCACAGCGCTGAACCAGTGTTTCTGTTCTGCCAACCAAAATGTGCCTTAGTGGAGTTCAGCCTAGCATATACCTGCTGATTCTCCTTACCTTTTTCAGACCCCAGAAATACCTCTTCTACTGCTCTGGAGGACCTCCCAGCCCTGTGGAATAGTCACAGGGCAAGAGGGGTTTTGGCGAAAATTGCTTCTTCCCCTTTGTTGTCTGTGGATAAGCTCTGCTATCAGATACTGATGGGAGGAGCTTTTCCATCTTCAAGAGGCTTTTGTTGGACTCATTCTGTAACGATATTTGTGATAGTAATTTCTTTTTTAAGATATTCAAAAAGGAAAACACTAAAAGCAATGCTGAAGTGTCATGTATATGTATAAAATAATAGATTTCACATCAGTGCTCTGGAGAAGCCTGCAGTTTGAGGCTGTATTCTCTGTTGATTTCCTCTTTACTATCCATAGTATTAACACAGTTAACAAATAATCATATGCCAAAATATGGAAAAGATCCTTTTTTTCTCTTTCTTTCACCTTTAACTTGATAGTTTAAATAAATAAATAAAATCATATTTCACTTGGCAGTTACCAAGTTCGCAGGAACTAGTATCGTATTGCAATTTCTCAACGTTGAATTTCAATTAGCTTTTTATTTTGGGAGACAATGTGAGTTTGGATTGTCAGTTTATCATATCAATATGCTGCTAAATAGTGGCTGTAAAATTAAAATATTTAATATGACTTTGTGGACCAAATAATTTTCCATATGTCATATTTTTGTTTTTCAGTACGCTCAACTGCTACAGCAGCCAGCAATCTGATCGAGGTTTTTGTTGATGGCCATCCTGTCCTGGTACCGCCAGGAACCACAGTACTTCAAGTAGGTGGAATTAATTTCGATTCTGTCACCATTTCTAGTACATTTCAAATGTTTGCAATAGTTTATTTTGTACTATTGGGAACATAAAATAGCTTTGTACCCCAGCATACTAGCCTGTCAGAACTGTTGAGATTATTTGCATTTTGACCTTCATTTTTGTTTTATTGCACGTGCTATCTTTGTGAGATTTTCCTGCATAACTTGGAATAGATCTCCTGATGTTTGTTGTTGTTCTGCTTTGTGACCTCTACTAAAGAAAGGAATCATGACAACTTTTGCATCTCTTGCTGCATTACTGATGACTCAGAATACTGCGTTTGTACTGCCTTGTCCATTGTTAACCTACAGTGTCTAGGTCTTTCACATTATCATGGTTATGGGTCAGTCATGCAAAACTGTTACAGTAAAATTGCTCTTGGGAATGAAGATGCAGAGGCTGCCGTTTGAAAAGTAGCAGGCACACTAAATATGAGAATCTTCTGAAATAGTCTGAGGCTGTATTTTCCTTAAACTCTGATGTTTGCTAAGTGAGCATTTACATTCACTGGAGTATGACATAATGCTAAAATGAGCCAAGAATTCAGTGGATATTGCCACCTAAGCTACTGCATTGACCTACTTCATGTTTGGCTATACCATCTTGCAACGTTAGTGGCTCTGTTATTCCGTGATAGAAGAGTAATAAGAAGTAACCTGACATGGCAGGGAGCACAGGCAAAGAAAGTTTGTGCAAATCATGTTCACATTTTAGGATTCCATGTATAATACCAATCTGAAAAACACATTTTGGTCTGTAAATTAGTTTCTTAATTTATATTCCATTAGTGTACAGATTGTCCAGTACCTTGTGTAATTTTTTTTTGGTAATCATTGCATTCATTTAAGCAGTTTGGTGTTTGGTTATCGCATACAAAAGGAAATATTAGATGTATTGAGAAAGAGACACATTACAACTCTTTGTTTTTAAAAGGGAAAACTGAACACCTTTTCCCAGAACAATACTTTTGGAAAAATATTCTGGTCTGTATCTTGATACTTCTTCATTATTTTTATTTTTCTCTAGGCATGTGAGAAGGTTGGAATGCAGATCCCCCGCTTTTGTTATCATGACAGATTGTCTGTGGCTGGAAATTGTAGAATGTGTCTTGTGGAGATTGAAAAAGCCCCTAAGGTTATTAATTAATCTATCTTTGCCAATATTGTTTTGTTCTAGAATTATGTAGACATGTTAATTTTGCAGAATTCCTAATGATAAAATTGCTTGCATGCAAATAATAATGTTAACAGATTTACAGCTGGCAACTGTTTTTTTCACTTTACTCTAAATCAGGGGTGTCCAACCTTTCACCTTCCCTGGGCCACATTAGAAGATGAAAATTTGGTTTTGGCCACATGGGGGGGCAGCCCTAGCCATCCTCCGCAGCCCCGCTCCAAATGCGCTTACCGGCAGCTGCGATCTCAGACAGCAGAGGCTGCCAGCTTTGACTCCGGTGGCTTTATGGGGCCGGGAGGGGGTCCACCTATTGACGGGGACAGCACAATGCAGTCACACAGCCCCCCTCTCTCCTCCCCTCCTGCTCCTTCCTTCCTTCCCTCTCTCCCCCCCACCGTTGTGTGTGCCCCAGCCGCATTCCAGCTGCAAGCTCCGGCAGTGTAACTTGAAACTTTGGAATTTCTTTAAAAATAAAAAATTGCACTGGGACGCATTATGAGCCGACCTGGGCCACATGCGGCCCTCGGGCCGCAGCTTGGACAAGCCTGCTCTAAATGTTCAATTTCCCTGCAATGTATTTGTAAAGCTTCATTATTCTTCCTTCCTTGGCACAGATCCACTCCAAAATTGTTCCCAATGGTAATTAAGTTTTTGAAAAAAACTTCAGTTGGCACCACTTGAAGTTTGTTTTTTTAAAACAGTTAACTAATGCAAGTATGCATGTGGGGAAAGTGAAAAGGGAACACTGTGGGCTAGATGGTTAAGCCATGCATTCTACCATTATTCCTTGAGCCGGAAATTCCCCACTCCTGGTCTAAAGGTTTGAAGTGTTTGTACTAGAGATGAGGGTATTTGTATACAAATATGAATATCCCCACTCAGGTGAAAATAATGAGGGTCTGGCCCCATAGGGCCGGACTGTCCACTCACAATTTTGCCATTGCCGCCAGCTCTGCGATGCCTTCCTATTGCGCCACTGTCTGCAGTCGATTACCCAGTCCTTGCAGGAGGCAGGATGACAAGCCTCTCTGTTAGGTCGGAGAGTGGCTAATCCACTGAGGAGAATAGTGCAATAGGAAGCCACTGCGGAGCTGGTAGTAGCGGTGAAATCGTGAGTGGACAGTATTATTTTCTACATACACGTGACTGCACAATAATTTGTCAATGACATAACTAGATAAGCTGCATTGTGCTCAGAGTAGATTTAGTTAAACATCATTTCCCTGCCATATTGAGAACATGCACACTTGCAGATTGATTTTTTAATGTATGTCTTTAATGGATTTACAGCCAGTAGCTGCTTGCGCCATGCCAGTGATGAAGGGGTGGAACATTCTGACAAATTCTGAGAAGTCCAGGAAAGCAAGGTAAGCTGCAGCAGATTTTACAGAACTTGCAGTTGCAGGCTTACTTGTTAACCTTATAATGGTGACTTTTTAGATGTAGGCCTAATGTTTTAAAGTTTTCTGTTTAAAAGAAAACCCACCAAAATGTCTTTTAACAAACACACTTTCTGAAGAGTAGAGAATTTAATATAATTTTTTAAATTGAGCCTAGAGTGGTCATGTTACCAGATAGGTGGGATAAAAAACAAACAAACAAACAAACTTCATGTTTCATCAGTTTAATTGTGCTTCTTACATGCTATGTGTCACGTAACCATGTTTGTTACTTTTTAAATTATTATTTTTTGTTGATCTCCAATAGGGAAGGAGTAATGGAGTTCTTGTTGGCAAATCATCCATTGGACTGTCCCATCTGTGATCAAGGAGGGGAATGTGACCTTCAGGTATAGAGTCTAGATTTTTTTTAAAATGCTGTTTGGAGTGGAGGTATGCTGTTTGGTCATATATATGTGGATTTATGTTTGGTTAATTATCTTTAGGACCAATCAATGATGTTTGGCAGTGATAGGAGTAGATTCCTAGAAGGCAAACGTGCAGTTGAAGACAAGAACATTGGCCCGCTGGTGAAAACTATCATGACCCGGTGCATACAGTGCACTAGATGCATCAGGTAACTGATCTCCTGCCTAGTGCTCCAGCAGAACCAGGTGCACTCTGTTGTTTTGTGATGAGAGTCTGTCAGTACTCACTTGCATAGAATGTGCACGTGCATATGAATTCTGGGTGTCCTGTTGTGTGGGAGATAATTTTTACCTAAGCCAAAAAGGAAACCATAATGTGAAGAGAGCAAAATGCAGGTAAGTCAATATAGGTAGTTGGTGAGAGTCACATTAGGATACTTACTTATGGTCCTTGGCAAACAATGATGGAACATTAAAGTGATCAAAGAAGGCAGCCCTTCCCAGTTATCCTGATACTTGAATCCTTACAAGAGCACGTGAGATGCCATCAGCAACCACCATATATGGAACGGCAAGTTGTGCAGAAACTAGGAGTGTGACTACAATGCAGTTTACCTGTGGTTTGCACTGGAGTTGGCACAGTTAAATTTGATGTATTTTATGTCAGTTACATTTTTAGAATATATATTTTAATTGCATTTTAATTATTTTGCCCTTTTATTTTGCCTTTTTATTGTATTTTAAATGCTGTAAGCCACCCAGAGACCTTCAGGTAGTGTGGGCGGCATATAAGTTAAAATAAATAAATAAATAAATAAATAATGTACAACTAATAATGAGTAAACCCAGTCTTTTTACATGTGCTGTAGTTGCTTTTGGTTTAGCCAGCACAGGCTAGTATTGTGGGTGTTTGCATAGCAATTCTGCTTGTATCATTCCCCCCCCCCCCCTATCATGTGCGATTGCCTATATTGGTCCAAAAGGGCAGTGGCAGATGTGTCGCTTTGGTGAACGGTGGGGCATCCATTAATGGTGGGTTTTTTGTTTTGCAAGTTGACATGTCACTGAATTGATGTATGTCTCTGCCCAATTTTTTATTTTTAAAAGTTGGTTACTGGAATACCAAAGGGGGTTTCATTTTAAAAGAAGCTTTTTTTAGTTGAGCCTATTTTTAGCCAACAAAATCCGTTGTAACAGCCTTTACAATACATAACTGCTGCTTTAAAATCTTGGTACATATAATTATACAACACAAAATTTAGATTTGCATATGTATTTTTAAATGTGTTTGTTATGAAAGACCAGAATGTTGTATTTGCTTGGCATGGCATTCTAACCAATCCAAATGTGTCTGGAGTCAGCCAAGCAGCTATTATAAGGCATGTATCAAAAGTCTGCCAGATAGGGACTGCTACATTATGTGACTCAGATAAGGACATGTACAAACTTGTGACAGTGTTGAATATGTGACAGGGACTACACTATGTAATAGTGGTTGATAGGGCTGGCAAGGAATAAAGATGTAATTGACAGAGTTTGGTAGGGTAGTTAGGCTTACAAATGTAATAGTATGATGACAGAGTTAGTCATTTACTAGAGAAAAGTATGTCAAGAAATCAAGAAAAACAAATGTCGAAGCACTATAAGTTATATTTTATAAAATGTTTTTAATGTTTTAACCAAAAGCACAAGTGATTATCTACTATCGTTTCGTTGGCACAAACATATATAAGGGAGAACATAATTTTTTTTCTGTACAAAGTGGGTTATTATCAATACTCTCCAACCTGCTGTGTGCAGACTTGCAAGTTTATTAATTATTATAGCCAAAAGTTAACATTAAGAAAATATTTAAAAACTTAAATATGAAAATTCATCTCTTTGATCACTCCCTTTCCTTTATCCTATCTTGTGAGTGGAGTGCTCTTCAGGCTGCTGACAAATTTTGAAAAACGGCACTCCGCTCTGCTAAGATTCCCCGCCCCTCATTTTCACATTAATCTCTGAGGTATCTAGTACATACTGTAGAGAAAAGTTCTTTCTTCTATCCATGGCAGCCTGGGGTCCACAAGAAAGGAAAGGCTCATTGGAGCCAAATGGATTTCCATTCCAAATTTTCCATATGTAGGTTGGATCTGAGGTATTGACGTCTGATTTTGTTTTATTTTTGTTCCCATAAGCATTAGCATATATTAGTTGAGGCTTCTGTACAACTTTTTAAAACAACCTAATGTGGATGATATAAAGAGAGCCTGAAGGTAGTAAGGCCAGCTTACCTGATGCTGCTAATGTACCTGGTAACCAATGCTGAGAGACATTGTAGTGGATAGAATGACAGACTAGGCCTCAGGCGATCTATGTTCACATCTCTGCTTATCCATGGAAACTTACTTGGGGTTAGCACTGGAAACAGTTCCTCGAACAGAACATCTCACATACTCAAAAGCCCTACAAAGGGCTGATATAAGTTCAGGTGTCTTAATGGCACAAAACAAAAGAAAAGATCAGTGATATTTGTATCTCCATAGATGGTGCCAAGTCCAAAGAACACCTCCCTATGCATATGCGTAACTTGGACCTTTGTATAGCATGCAGTTCCATCTCAAAACTCATCACACACCTTCATCAAGATAATCAGGAGTGGCTATTTAGGCTACTCCTTGCTTATCCTGGATGAAGTGTCAGCTTGTTGTCTTCATCTGTCCCAAAACCTATGGAGATGTAGTGTACTTACCTTTAATATATTGTAATAGCCTTTTATTCATTAGCTACATTAGAGATATTTATAACCATGACCAAAGCTTCTAAGTCTTTCTTTTAGATTTTCTTGCATATGAGTTCTTTCTTTAAAGTTGGAAAGTATGGTATTCAGTATTTTGTCATGTTTTTATGTTTCTCTTGGGTAGGTTTGCAAGTGAGATTGCGGGAGTTGATGACCTAGGAACCACTGGGAGAGGAAATGAGATGCAAGTTGGTACTTACATTGAAAAAATGTTCATGTCTGAATTATCAGGCAATGTGATTGATATTTGCCCAGTTGGTGCGCTTACCTCGAAGCCATATGCTTTTACTGCTCGACCCTGGGAGACAAGGCATGTATCTTAATTGGTATTCACAGTGTTAAACAAATACAACATTTTAATATTTGTTAAATGTAAAGTTTTATTCAAAGATGCTAACCCTTTTTTTTTGCCCTTGGCCTGAATTTTTGATTTTACTTGAACTTTGAAGATCACAATCCCAGTGAACTAAGCTAACTCTTACAGGATTTTTAATGAGTGGCAGTGCACTTTAGATTAGGAGAAACAGTATCTGTTAAACTGAATGAATTTGTCTACTGTATGTTCAGGACCATGTGCTACCTATGTCATGCTGGAGAACACGATCACTAACAGTGCTCTGATTTCCCAGATGAGCCGTTCTATAAATAAGAATGCTTATCACTTGAAGGTTTTATTAAAGGCTGCTACTGTGCAGTGAAGGTAGAAGAATGATAGTAATGGAATTTATAGTAGTAGTCTATATGGTTGGTCTGTTGAATGCTGCAAGTAGCCAGTTGCTATTTTGAAGTATATGACGTGAAATTAGTACTGTGTGTAATCTCTAGCTTTCCCCAGCCTTGGACCTTCCAGAGTATCAGGACAACAACTGAAAACATGACAGGATTTGGTGAGGCATTGAAATTTATTGTTCAGATATTTCCCCAAAGTGTGATTATCGGGCTTTGTGCTCTTTTCTTAGAAAGACAGAGTCCATTGATGTTCTTGATGCAGTAGGGAGCAACATTGTGGTGAGCACTCGAACTGGAGAAGTGATGAGGATTTTGCCAAGACTACATGAGGATATCAATGAAGAATGGATTTCTGACAAAACAAGGTATCACTGTATGTGATCTTTTTAGAAGCAAATCTTTGTAGTATACAAAAATACAGCTGCAAGGCTCTTTAGTCCCTTGATGAGTCTTTAAAATCTGTGTGAGAACCAATTTGTAAACTGGTGTTGGAAGTATTTTCTCTTGTAGCACAATTGTCAGAGCCAAACTTTTTACCATATTTCCTGTGTATAAGATGATACTTTTATCTAAAATCTTTAGACTAAAAATTGAGGGTCATCTTATACACGGACATAAGGGGGGAAGGGGTCAAAGCACTGCAGGATTAGAGCCCTTTGATCCTGCAGTCCTTTGATCCTGCAGCCCTTAGATAGCTGCTTCACCCCTCCACTTCCTAAGCCCCTCCACTTCCTAAGCTCTGCAGGGCTTAGGAAGTGGCGGGGAAAGCAACTGTGAAGGCTGCAGGATCAAAGGGTTGCAGTCCTGCAGCCCTTTCATCGCTGCTTTCCACCTCCACTTCTGCAGCTCTTTGATCTGCTTTCTGAGGGCTCAGGAAGTAGAGGGGGAAAGCAGCAATCAAATTTTCTTATTTGGGGTTGGAAAAGTGGGGGTCGTCTTATAACGTAAAAATACGGTACGGTGGTGCCTCGCATTACGATGTTAATTCGTTCCAGCGAAATTGCTGTAGAACGAAAACATCGTAAAGCGATTTTTAAAAGCCCATAGAAACGCATTAAACCCCGATTAATGCGTTCCTATGGGCTTCAAACTCACCGTCCAACGAAGATCCTCCATAGCGTGGCCATTTTCGCTGCCCGTGCAGCGAGGAATCCGACCCAGAAAACAGCGGGCGGCCCTTTTTTTTACCCGGCGGCCATTTTGAAACCGCCAATCAGCTGTGCGAAAATCTTCGTTTTGCGATAATCGGTTAGCGAAGCAGGTAACCGATCATCGCAAAGCGAAAAAAAACCCATAGGAAACATTGTTTTGTGATCGCTTTTGCAATCGCAAAATCTTCGTCGTGATGCGATTCCTTCGTTAAACGAAGTGCTCATCTTGCAAGGCACCACTGTATTTTATTTTAAAGATCATTTATTACAACTAAGGTAAATTGGGGCATTATACAGAAAAATATGCACACAGCTGTTTTCTGTTGAAATTGTGGGAATTTAGCTATTTGTTGTGTTAATGTATTTTAACTGTGTAATTAGTACAGACAGAATAATTGTAGGGCTTCCACCCTTTTGTATGCCATTTAGTGTTAGTATTGGAATTCTGGGTGTAACTGAACTGAAAGCATAATTGTCATTGTAAATGGCAAAACAGAGCAATCTATAAATTAAAAGTATTGTATCTGGCTTGGTGCCAGTAGTTCACAGTTAATGAAGTAGCTATTTCAATAGTTGCTTGTACTGTATCATTAGCTTTGCCTTTACTCTCCAGATTTGCTTATGATGGTCTGAAACGGCAGCGTCTTATTGAACCAATGATAAAGAATGAAGAGGGGTTGTTGACTTATGTGTCCTGGGAAGATGCCTTGAGCTGTGTGGCAGGAGTGGTAAGAATGTTCACTTCGAATGGACCTCTGTTGATGAAAACAAAGTAGTTTGACCCATTACTTTACAACTGATCCCCATGAGGAATGGAAATTTCTGGCATCATGATTTCTGGCCTCCACGTTGCCCCATACAGTAGATCCTGTAAATTTGCTTTGAGAGTGTGGGGAATTTCATGAGCAAATAAAAATGGAGGGAAGAGGAGAACAAAAAAATCACTGTTGAATCATAGGAACAAAATTGCCAGTAAGATTGATCACTTACTAGTGGTCCTTAGTTTTATTGACTGCTGCTTCCAAGATGGAGTGCTTGTCAATATGATGGTTAGTTGCATCAAATATGTTGTTTTTCAGGAGTGATTCAAGCACATGTGTAGTGAGTGATGAAATTTTTTTGGCTTCTATTCGTATCTTGTAGAAGGTTAATGTTCTCCATAACTGATATTTTGGCTAGTGGCTGGTTGTGCATTTTTGTACACATGATTAACATTGTGCAAGTGTCCATGCTGTTTGGCAAGGTGTTGCATGACTGGTTGCACAACTGATTTTGCACTAGACATCTTGCCAAGTAGTACCCTCACTCTAGTGCAGTGTAAGATGCATGACTGGATATCCCTAACAAGATACTGGATAACTTTTGTTTCTTGGCAAACATGTTTTAATTAGCTTTCAGCAGCAGCAGATCTATTATCTCATTGTTTTTGGTGTTCATTTATTCCAGTTGCAAAGTAGTCAGGGAAATGACGTAGCTGCAATTGCAGGAGGACTGGTTTACCTCTGGGAGAAATCTCTAAACCCACCTCTGGTCGCTATGGAGTCTGCATAATCTCCAGACCCTCGACCCGATCAGCAAAATCCCCCTATGCCCATTTCCAGCCCAGCGACTCCTTCTCCTCACCATAAGGAGAAGTCAAAGTCCGATTTGAAATCAATGTTGACGACCAAGGCCTTGACCCAGTCTCTAGAGACTTTTAAAAAGAAAAAATTCAAAACAACCCCAAAGAAACCAAAAAGACCCTCAAAGTCCACTCAGCTCGATCCATCACAGCCTTTCAATTCTTCAACCCTGTTCCAAATAAAATTGTGTCCCTTCCTTAATGTTTGGCAATGTATAACTAATGACCAATGGGTCCTTTCCATCATTAAAAATGGGTACTTCATTAAATTTGAAACTATCCCACCTATCGGAAAAGTTAAAAATACCCCTTATTCAAAAGTCCTTCAAGAAGAAGTTTCTCTTCTTCTCCGAAAGCAAGCCATAGCCACCGTCCTTCCCTCTGTCCTGCATGACGGTTTTTACTCCAGATATTTTACAGTATCGAAAAAGGATGGAGGACTCCATCCCATCCCCGACCTCAGCGATCTCAATAAATTCATCCGACCTAGACGCTTCAGAATGTTGACACTAGACACTATCATTCTTCTCCTTTCACAGGGAGACTGGTTTGTT